AGTGCCCTTCTTAGTATGGGCACAAAAGCAAAAACCTAGTTGAAATTCAGCAAAAGCAATTTCCTCAGCTCCAACAGTTTGTTCATGTACTTCTCTGAAGATCTCATTTCTTTCTGTGTTCCAGTGTGAGTGCACGAGGGCATGACCTGGGGGATGAAGGGTAGAATATCGCAAGGGCTTTTTTCAGGGATCCAGCCCACACCTTGGTGACTGATATCTCCCCTAATAACAACTGGGGAGGAAATTGCTAACTAGAGATAAAGATGAGAGTTTTTGGTCTTTACAAAGAAAAAGTACCTGCAATGACAATACCAGACCTTGAAAATGATGTTCCAAAAGTATACCAAACTTCTTCGTTGGCTTTCTGGAAGGTTTTACAGAGACACAGTAACTTCAGGATTTGTGCCCACTTGGTACCAATCTTCTGTATGTGTAGAGTCTATCAGGAATAAGATCAATGGTATTTTCTCAAGTCATTGTCAGTCATTCTAATGCATCTCAAACACCCTCCCATACGACTTATTTATATCCCACAATAAACTCAAAGCTGGTGTCTGCCCGAAGATTCATGTGTTAAAGGCTTGGTCCCAGTGGATGGTATTATTTAGAGGTGACGGGGCCATAAGGGTGCTAAACTTCATCAATGGATTAATTCATCAGTAAGTTCATGGCTGAATGGGCTACTCATATCTAGTTGAAGGATGCAGGTAACTGTGGGTGTCCACGTCCCTAGCTTCCCCCCGCCCCCCTCTGCTTCTCTTTCCCTGTCTCTCTCCCTCTTTCCTTGTCTTCTTTCCTTCTTTCCCTCTCTCTTTTTGCCTTTATAAGGTAAACAGCCTCCTCTGCCACACATTCCAGCCACCATGATGTTCTGCCTCACCACAGACCCATAGCAATGGAGCCAACCAACTATAGACTGAAACCTCTGAAACCATGAACCTAAATAAATCTTTCCTCCTTTAAAACTGTTTTTTTTTTTAGGTATTTTGTCACAGCAACAGAAAGTTGACTAACATAGTATTCTTACAGCCCGCCAGGACAAAGGGACACACAATGAAGACCTCTATTTAGAACATCTAAAGGACAGCATCACCTACCATGTTGGCCTTTTCTTGTAACTTAGTCATTGTGTGATGTGTTAGGAATTAAGTGTTTCCAGTCTTACACCATTCAGGCAGCATTTTCAGCATCAACTAACCAGTTCAACCTAATACAGCTCACCAATTTCACCACAACTTTTAAGAATAAAAATATATTCTTTTTAAAATTTTTATTATGAAGAAATTCAAACACATACAAAAGTAGAACAGTATAACAAACTTCCATGTACTTAGCACTGTTTTAACAATAATTGACTCAGAGCCAATCTTGTTTCAACACTACTTCCATCTACTTCCTCTCCCCAATATCATCTGAAAACAAACTCCAGATATCATATCATTCCATCCATAAATATTTCAGTGTGTCTCTAAAGTATGACCCCTTCTTTAATATTACAATGTCATCACCACAACTAAAAGTATTCATAAGAACTCCTACCAAATATCAAAAATATACCAAATTTCCAATTGTCTCAAAAATATTTTAAGTTTTTTGTTTGAATCAAGATCCAAATAAGACCCACACTTCCCCTCTAGTAGGACATTATTGCAAATGGCACTAATTGCTTCATGCATTTTTTTTTTTTTGCTTCATGCATTCCTAACAGAACATCATTTGCAATCTTTCCCCAAAGTACGGTATCCTATTTGATGATGGGTCAAATTCTATACTGCATTGTTTTCCTTCCTTACCCTTTATTTTTACTAAGTTCAGTAAACACAGTCACAGATATAGCCACTGGAGATATTAAGTGTCTGATCTCGTCCCAAGAGCCATGGATTCAGAAAATAGATTTCTCACTGGAAATAACTTTTGGCCTTCTATCAGATGCCACATCAATTGCAAAATACATTGAAAGTCTAGATAGATGTGTGCTTTAAACTTGAGACTCCCTCACACATAAGGACTGCCCCTGCTCTGGAAAGCATATATCCAACACTGCAGGTTGTTCTAAAATATGTCTGGATTGCTCTCCTCTTCTTGGTGAAGACATGTATCAGATGTTAGGAAACAGATGAACTCCATCCAGTCAGAGCAGATTGGATCTCAGCATGGTATTCAGAAGAAAATCTGATTTCTAAAACCCAGCTAATTGGGCATTTTAAGTGCTGTATTTAACCTTTGGACCCTTGTGGCCAACGCCAGAATTGACCAGGTATCAGACACAAATCATTCACCACTAGACATGCCATGATGGGCAAAGTCAAAAGTTGTAGAAAGGCAGGGCTGAGGATGTGGCCCAAGTGGTAGAGAGCTTGCCTAGCAAATACAAAGCTGAGTTCAAACCCCAATACCAGCACAAAAGAAAAAGTTGAGGTGGAGTAGATTGCTGGAAAAAGCAGTGAGGAGGACACTGCAAACGTCCATGCAGGAGGTAGGGTGCTTTTGAAGTCAGGCTGGAGCAGCGCCAAGTAGAGAGGAGGGGGTAACATGAAAGATGTAAAAACAGATGCAATAACATTCACTTTCCTAGCTCCAGCGAGGGTGCCATGAAAAGGACTACTAACTACACATTGTGTGGTTTGCATATTCATTGTCCTCAAAGACTCATGCATTAGGAAATTGGTCCTCAATGTGGCAGGGTTGGGAGGTGGAACCCTTTAGAGGTGGGGCAAAACAGAAACTCTATAGGTCTTAAGACTATGCTCTCAGAAGGAGCTAAATGACCCCAGTCTCTCTGGCTTCCTGCCTTTTGGTAGGCTCTCTCCTCTTACAGTTGTTCCCTCCCTGATGTGGCACTGCCAAGAGGATTTACCAGAGCTGAGCCAATGTCAGTGTGGTGCCCTTGGATCTCCAGAGCTGTAGTCTTAATAAATGTCTTCTCTTTATAAACTTAGCCCTCCTCAGGTATTTCATTATAATAATGATAAAAGGACTAATACATGAGCAGACATTTGCACACATACATACTGTGTGTATGCAACTCAGGCTGGCCTTGAACTTGCTATGTGGTCCAAGTTGGCTATGAACTCTAGATCCTCTTGACTCAGGCTTCCTGGTGCTGGGTGCTGAAATTACAGGTGTGTACTACCATGCTGGCTTTATATGATTTTGTTCAACATATACATTTGTCAAAATTCATAACTCTATAACTCAAAATTAGTGAATTTTACTGTGCCCAAATTATATCATAATAATGCTATCAAAACAAACCCAAAAACTCTCTGGGTAGTTTTAGACACCCCAACCCTCCCCCTGGCAGGTGATTCCAGCCAAAGCTGGGAATCACCAGGCAACAGCATGGACAAGGGCTGTTTCAGCACCAGATTACCTGCTGGTTTCAAAGCCGATAGAACTCATTATTGGAAATAGTCACAGCTTGAAGCTTGGTTTGGCTCAGCTTAGACTTCTGGAGCTTGGGGTGCAAAATGACATGACCTTTGGAACTCACGAATCCCCAGCAAAAACAGGCCCATGAGGGAAGTGTGGCAGGGGAACTGCAAAGGGAGCCAGGTGCCCAGCCTCAGAGCTTGCACACTGCCTGTGGAAGGCAGTAGCTCTCGTATTTCTGGGTGCACCATAGTCACACTGGGATATATGTCAAGGGTAAAATCCTGAGCATAACTCCCTGAGGTCAGGTCTCAGGTGTGGCACAGGAGTTTCATTTCAGCAGGTTCCAGGTGGCTCTATAGAGGGTTCATGGAACACACACCTGGAAACTCTGATGCTTGTGGGATCAACAGTCTGCTGGTCCTCCCAAAAGGATACAGCACACTTGCCCCTGGAAAGTCTGAAAAGGCAGCATCCAGCATTTGTGGTGGGAGGGTCTTCATGGAAAAGAAGTGGACTTACCCCAAGTTCTCTCTGCATAATAGAAGGGGGGAACGAAGCAGGAAGGGCTGTTGGCTCACTCGCTCCTGTTTCTACTAAAAGGAAAGCTGGGGGTTTTCCTATGATGGCTGCCAGCAGGAAGTGCGCGGGCCACAGTAGGAACCAGGCAGCAGTTCAGGTCCTTCTGAGACATTCAATTTCACCAACAGAGCAGATCTCACAGCATCACTTGTTAAATGCAAATCCCCAGACTGTCCCAGGCCATCTACTGCATCAGACACTTGGGGAAGGCCTTTAATCTGCCACAACTCTGACTGATGTTCACTCAGGTTGAGAACCCTGGCACCAGAGGCTCAAATGCTTTGGTGACCATAAGCTTAGGAAAATTCCCTGCCTCTCATGTCCATGCTATCAGGTCCCTTGCTGTGGAGAGTGGGAAGTCACACAGCAGCACATAGCAGCCCTCCTGCTGCTATCACTAGTGACTGGGAAAGTGCTGAAGGCCTCTGGGGCTGCTGCACCTGGAGGAAGGAAACCAGGTTCTGGGTTATTTCCACCAGCTGCCAGGTTGCTCTCCCAGCAGATTCAGCTGTTTTTTCTTTCCTCTAAGTCTGGGGAGCATGGTGGGAAGGACTACCCCAAGAAATGGCATGTGGGTGCCTAATTCCTTGAAAGCAGAGGCAGCTCTGGCCCAGAAGCCCCAGGGCCTGGTCCCACTGTCCTCCCTACAAAAATGTGGATCTGGAGCTCAATGAGACCAGGGTTCATCTCCATGCTCCTTTTCCTGACCCAAAGAGATGCTGCCTTTCCTGGTAGGATGGGAAAGCAAACACCACCTTTCTAGAGCAGGCTGTATGAAGATAAGACTCCCTCTTTGACAGGTAGCTTCAGTGTTGGTTCCTATACTTCCAGAGACAAGGAGAGGCTGAGGCTTAGAGTAAGGCCTGGCTGGTGGGACTGTATGGGTCATTCAGCTCTTTCTTTTCCATTCCCAATTTTGGAACTCTTCCAAGCACTCAAATCCAAGAGAAAGACTAACATTCCCCAAAAGGGAGTCACTGGGATCAGGAATAATCCATATCCATTGTGGATTCACTTTAAATGTTAGACGAGAGTTCATGACTTGGAAACAAAATTCGGGACTTACTTGGGCTAAACTGACAGCACAATTTTATTGTGTTTTCTTGTCAAGCAATTTTACTTGAGGCAACAACTGAAGTATAATTTAATTCAACAGGAAATATCACACTAGAAGAGAAAACATAGGGGGGAAAAAAAAGCCCTTAAAATAAGCCAAACATTCTTTCCAAGGCACAGAACTGACATTTTCAGATTGACAGCAGAATGAGTTTGTTTCCGTGAAACAAAATCAGACTTTGGAGTCTGCTTTTGAAACAGTTCCTACTTCATGTCCATTTCTCAGGCTCAGGGAACGATGCTTGTGGCCTTCCTTAGAGCCAGATAGCCAGTGACAACATCTGATGGCAGCCTCCGAATATAGGAAAATTCTTCAATGCTGCTGAACCGTAGCTTGCTCTGGGGATCTGTGTAGTTGGCCTGGGTGAGAAACATGGAAGGACAAAGAGTTGTTGGGTGGTGGTATTTTAAGTTCAAGTTCTAATCCTTTTTTAATTTTACTCAAAGTGAAATATATCTTCATTATGCTTTACTGTCACCAAGAACACTAAATTGCTCACTTTGGCCAAGACTCATTAATTTTTTCAGACCTGAGAAACACTTCAGGGTACAGACTGGAGGAAGAATAATCATGCCAGAATCTAGACCCTTCTTGGTGCCTCAGGGGCTGTAAGCAGCAGGTCCAAGATTAAATTCACAATGGTCCTTCCTTCCTGCCTTCAAACTCCCACCTCCTTCTATCAAATGCCCCAGGGCTGTGTTCCTCAAGGTAAGAACTACACGGGACTGCACACCAGGTCCACACTCTCCTTGCTGTGTTCCATCTACCTTCTGTCCTCCTCTCCAGCTTTCTCCCCATCCCCCCACACTACTTCCACAGTACCCTGGGCTACTGTAGTGCTGCCCTGGCCAGCCACCCCCACCACTAGACGGGACTGCCATGCCATTCTACAACTGCAGCCAGGTCATCTTTGCAACTTGCAATTTTGATCATGTCCTTCCTCAGCATAAGTCTCTCTCAGAATAGCTCCTCTCTGTTACCAGGACAAAAGCCCAAGTCCTCAGTGTGACTCAGACCCCAGGCTTCTTTACTCCTCAGCCACATGTCCCCAGTCTGTGGTTCCAACCACCATGGTCTCTAAATCTGTCCTTCCTGCCATGCCCCACCCAACTCCATCTGGCCTACTGTGTTCAGTAATCACCTACTCATCCATCAGGACTCAGCCCCATAGCTACACCCTCAGGAGGTGAGGCCCCACCTTCTCTTTTCACAGCATCACAGCACACTCCCATGCAATGCTTTCACATACAGTTTCTACATGACTCTGATTAATGTCTAGGCTGTGAGGCTCTGAGGGGAGGGAATGTGCTCATTTGCTCATCATTGTAGACCACAGGGGCCTTCAGTCAGTGTTTGTACGACAACTGATGAATGCATAAAGGAATGATTAGATGACCTGGACCATCACAGAAAAAAGAACTTACTTCCCAGACATAGCAAAATACTCTTTTGGTCTATTTTATCCATGTGCAAGGTAGAGAAAATAATTTACCTATTATATACCTCAAAGTACATGGTTTCTATGGATTTTTGAAAAAGAAAACATGCACATGAATAATTTTAAGCACCTTTTAAAAATGATAAAAAATATCATTAAAGTCCAGACATATAATGTCCCAATACTCAAGTGAGGATTCTCTGCTCCACCACTGTCACCTGCGAGTGCACCAAGACTCGGTAATTCTGAGGTCTGATGAGGGAGAGGACTCAGGGAAGAGACCACAAGCCGCAGGGAACTGAGTCGTGGGTTTCTCATGCTCTAAAGTCTCAATCCTGCCACAAGGGACCCCCCTCAAGGATTCCTGTTGTGTGTCAGGAAGATGGAATTTATTCCTAAAAAGCTAAGACTAATTAAAGCTGCATATAAAATAAAACTTTGGTCCTTTGGCTTGATTTAGATATTGTCTTTCTGTACCACATTTCCTCTCATGACAGTAATAAAAGTGAAGGGCTAATATAAAAAACAGCGAGAAGTCTCCTGGGAGGGTCACGGCCATGTGGGATTTAGAGTGTCTACCTGATGGGGGTGGGGGTGGGAGGGAGTAGAGGCTGCCTCGTGGTTCTGAGCAGGGTGCATGTGGCATCTGGCTTGGACCACCTGGTCTCTGTACATGAACTAACCTCAGTCTGGCTCTGCCCACAGCTGCTTCACTCCCACCACCAAACTGCACCGAGCTGCCTGCTCAAGTTCAGACCTCTCTACCAAAAAGACTGCTGAATAAACAATGTAGACTACAGAGCTCTCATGGCACCAACAGAGGTCACCCACAAAAACTGGTGGTCCTGACCCAGGAACCAGCATCCAGCATTTTGAACAGGAGGGATAATGCCAAGTAACACCCCAGAGCTGAAGAAGTAAAGAACTTCATCTCTACAGTCCACCTGGCTCTGGACTCTGTCCCTTGAGCCTAGATGAAACAAACAAATAAACAGAGGCTGTCCTTCTGTACTGTGCAATCGGCAAACAGCTTTAGGTCCCCCTTGCTTCAGGGTGATAGGCAAATGGTGACAGGCAGTGGTCACAGCCCCCACCTCCAATCTCACCTAGAGCCACAACACTTTCAAAGCTCTATAGCTACACACAAGTGTGACCCAACATGCCTCCGTGCTATGCCCAAACACAGGAGACATAGACACATGTGGCTCTTTGGGGTTAGGTGAGTCAGTGTAAATATGAACTGAGCTTTTTAAATTTTGTAACTTTAAATTATACAAGTAAGAGATGAACATATTCTCTAGAAAAAAATTAAAACATTACAAATAAGATTGAAGCACCCTTTTATCACCATCTTCCACCCCAAAGTCCTTTGCCTTTTCCTGAGGCAACTAGTACTAGGTGGGCACCCTTCCAGACTTTTAAATTTTACACCCTTCCACACATTAAACACACCAGAGAAACTGCCCAGTATTTCTGGGTGTGAGTGTGTGGTGATTTTTAATGTAATAAACTAGACTGTTTATACTGCTTGCATCTTTCTGTCAACAATGTATCTTGGAACGTCATCCACGTTGTTGCATGTACATCCAGGCCAGAGAACAGCATGAAAATCCCCAGTGGCAGACTTTTATGTGTTTCTAGTATTTTGCTAGTGCACTTTCCTAAGTATTTCTGCATGAAGTTTCTGGTGCACCATATTTCTCTAGGGAGTTGCCTAGAAGGCAAATTTCTAGATCATAGACTTTTGCTTGTTTTTTTTTTGGTCTCAAGAGATAGTCTCAACTTGTCTTTCAAGGAAGCTCTATCAATGCATGATTCCCACCTCAAAACAGCAATATATGAGCATATCCACTTCCTTATGTTGGTGCTGAAACATATAAACAAATGTCTCAATTTCTTCCCTGTTTGATCAGCCTTTTACCTAATTACCAATGAGCTCCAATACCTACTTACAAGTCATCTGTAAGTCCTCTCCTTTCAACTGCCTACTCACACACGTTTTGCCAGTTCTTCTATGGGATTGCCCCTTAATGATTTGGTGGAGTTCTTTATATGCTTACAACTTCTTAATTCTTACCTTCAGTGGGGCAAGAGGTTTTAGGTAAGGTGTAACATGGAAATTCCTCTGCTGATGTCATAAAGAGACCAGGAATCATCCTCCTAATGAGTGAAAACCACTGTACCAGCATGAACTACCCAAAATGGTGAGGAGAAAGTTGACATTCCAAAGAATCAGCTTCTTCTAAGTGTGGCCATAAACCATGATTTCCAAAAGCTCAGAATGACACAGGGAGAGATTTCCATTTTGGCCATAACAGAATAACTGGGTGCCACACTAGTTTTCTTGCCATAAACAACTATCAAAATGGGTAAAATATATAAGGCAATTATTTTCAAGCAATAGACAAGCAGTAGCACAAGACTACAATGAGAAAGCAGAAAATCAAGATGAGACTCAGGAAGTTATCCTAATAGAAAGAATATGCTATTAGATTGCAAACTGGACATATGCAATGAAATTTAAAAAGTGGAAATAGACTAAATGAAGGTAAAAGAAAATTATTTTTTCTCACTTTTATTTCTCTAAAAGATAACTATCTGAAGCAAAAACTAGTAGCAATTTATTTTGCTTATAGCATAGTAAAAATAAACAATATGACAACAAAGAAATGGTGAGGAAATGGAAGACTGGAATTGGAAATATACTATCATTAAAAACCTTGCACTACACATGAATTGGTATAATATTTAAAAATAGACTCAGTTGCTCAAAAATATATATTGGAAATATAAGAGCAACCATTCAAAATTTTTAAAAAGAGGTATGAACTAGAAAATAAGTACAACTTAAAAATATTTAGTTAACCTAATCTTTCCATGAGGAAAACACAAGACAAATTTTAGTAATAAAGCATTCTACAAAGTACCTGACCAACACTTCTTAAAAGTGACAAAGTAAGCTGCGCGTGGAGGCACACACCTGTTATCCTAGCACTTGGGGGTTGGAAAGGAGGACCACTTCAGCTCAGGAGTTTGACACCAGCCTGAGCAATATAGTAAGAGCCCATCTTAAAAAAAAAAAAATTAAAATTAAAAAAAGTGACAATGTTATCAAAGACAAGAAAAATTTGAGAAACTGCCACAGCCAAGAGCAGCCTAAGGAGACATGACAACTAGATACCATACAGTATTCCAGATGGGATTCTAGAACAGACAGAGGACATCAGTATAAATTATGGGCTTTTGCTAATAATAATAATATATAGTTCATTCACTATAACTAATATGCCATAGATGTTAATAAAAGGAGAAACTGTGTTTGGGGTATATGATAACTCTATAACTATGAGTTTAAAAAAATACAGTCTTAAAAAATGCTCACTTTGAGCTGGCAGAGTAGATCAAGTGAGAGGGTGCCTGCCTATCAAGCATGAAGTCCTGAGCTCAAAACAACAAAAACAACAACAATAAAATGGGTACTCTATAAAGAAAAGACACTTACTGAGCTCATGGTCTTGGAGGCTGGAAGGTGTAAACAGTATAGTGTCAACATCTTGGCCAGGGCTCCTTGGCTATATCGTAACATGGAAGAAAGAGAACTGGCAAGTGCAGAAAGAGCATGTGTGCAGCAAGGAATGGAAGCAAGAGACCAGGAAGGGGCCAGGCTCACTGCTCTTTTTCATAACAATTCTCTTTCATGGGAACCAATCCACTCCTAGGAGAGCTGACCCTCTCCCAAGAGACAGTACATAATCCATCCATGAGAGTGGAGCCCCAAGGACCTAATTATCTTCATTAGGCTCCCGTTAGAGGCTCTACCACCTCAACACCCCCATACTGGGGAACAAGGCATATACAAATCATACCACATAGCTATATGAATACAGACAATAGTGGACTTCAGAACAATGAAAATGATCAGGAATAAAGAGGAATATTGTCATCACAAAGGAGAAAATTCTATCTTTTTTAAAATTTTTATCTTTTTGCAGTACTGAGGATTGAACCCAGGGCCTTATGCATGCTACACAAGTGCTCTGCCACCTGAGTGCCTTTGTCTTTAGTTTGTTTTTGAGACAGGCCTGCCACACCTTTGCTCAAGCTGGCCTCAAACTCATGATCCTCCTGCTTCTGCCTCCTGAGTAGCTGGGATTACAGGGGTACAGCCAGGCCTGGCTTCCTTTGTAAAATGTATATAATTAATTTGGTCAGTTTGTTAGAGGCATTGGAGTCAGACATTTTCATTAAAATGTAAAGCATTTGAATGTGCATGTGAGTTTTAAAAGAGACATGCTCCACTACTTCTATAGTTATGAGAAAAAGCCCATCTTCTAAATTTACGAGATGAAAAAAATGATTAAGAAGGTGAGCTGAAAATATCCTTACAGGTTTCACACTTGCTCCATGTTCTGTGAATAAGGAGATTGGGCTCTCTTTTGATTCCTGGGCTTCAGCAACTTGCCCAATTCCCAGTCTTCAGCTCTGCTAGTGGATTCCAAACTGTGCTCCCCACACTACTTGAGCAGTCATTAGTGGAGGTAGGAAGGAAGACAGAGGACTCTGTGGTTCTACACAGAACCACAGCCCTTTTAGATATGTGGATTCTATAAAATATTTCACTTGGAAAAGGAGTCTGATGTTTAAAAATAAGTTTGAAAGACACTACCTTTATACAAGTGCCTCTGTAGAGATATGGAGATGCTTATTTTTTTTTTTCTTTTTCAACAATGCTGGAAATCTAACCAAGGATCTCCAGCTTACTAGGCAGACACTCTACCACTGGCTCACCCTCCTCCCAGCCCTAAGTATTTCTTTAAAGTAGAACCAGTCATTTAAATATAGTATTTTAAAACTGTAGCTGTAAAAAAATAACAAGTTGCTTCTATCATGTTGTCTCACATAATTAATTAACAGAAGAAAGGAAGTGAACCATGTCTTCTGCTTTCTGCTCCAGTCCTCTCTTCAGCTGCCCACACGGACACTCCAGATAGCAGCATGAACACCTTGTTCACATCCATCACTTATTCACAGTAAAAAGTCTCCAGGTAGGACCATTAGTAGTTGATACTGAACACTGTTTTAGATAGACATTGCTGTGAAATCTTAAAGTTAATGTTATGATATAGAGAGATGCAACTGTACTCACAAGAAGACCCGAAACATCAGAATACTTCTTCGCTGGTTTAAAGGATGGAGGAGCATCAATACTGAAGTCTAGGGAAAAAAAGAAAAAGATGACTAAACTGGCCTTAAAACATTCTAATTCCTTTTCTTTTTTCCTAAAATAACATTTGATAATATTCTCAAATTTTTCTTGTGATTACATATCACAGAATTCTCTGGGGATTAACCAGAGAAGTAAGGGAGGAGTCTTAGCAACAGTGCAGTATGTCATAGACCAAGTGCAGGCTTGGATGTAGCCCTGCCCTGTCACCAGGGGCCATCTATTCCAGCAAAACTGCCAGGCTCATCTGCCCGCAAGCCATGCTCACAGTCTCAGGCTTCATGGGTTGACGGTGCTGAAATGTCACACGACCCACTAACTGGATCTGAGCATCCAGACTGCTGTGTGTCCACACCCAGATGACTGAATGAGCTGACTTGTCACTCACTGAGTCATCCCCAGGAAAGAACACAGCAGGACAGGAGGAAGAAGGATGTTTGAGCCTGTATTTTCCACTGAAGTTGAACAGAACATCTATTGGGGTTTTACATAGATCTGGATACACTGAAGCAGAAGTAATTTACTCTGAAAAACACTCAGAAAGCAAAAAAATGGCCTTTAAGCTGGTTGTTGGAAACCCTCCCTCCTAAATCTGGCTTCATACTTGGGCTACCTTGTTCTTGAAAACAAAATTTAAGAGTAGACTGTTCAATGAGAAGTTTGTCTAACAGAAACATCATTATTACCATCTTTGGACCTATTTCTCCATACCAAAAATGTTAACAATACACTAAAAACCACATGCCTGTGACAACACAAACAAACAGACTCAACACAGACACAGTTAAGAGGAAATATACACATGATATTCCTGGACTGATGCCACTATAAAATTCTCAAGCTAAAAACAGTTTCCTACAGTAATGCAAACATAATCAAATAACGAAGGTTTCTTATAAGGAAGTTTTGAGCCTGAGCATTATAAGCACATAGAAGGCTCTAGACAGCTCACAGTTAGGATCGTTCAGTTGCCACGGCAATGCCCTTTCAGCAGCGAGAATTTGTTTCAGGTTCTTCCAGGTTCTGTTCTTCTTGCCAGCTACTGCGCCACCATGGCCAGAATGCTCAAATTAAAAGCATGGATTAGAAGAAACAAAAATCAATTGACTACCATTTGAGAATCTGACATTTATGCTTAATCGTAACTGTTATGTACCCCCCATTCTATCAGCAATAATTCGTACTGCTGAGATCTTTTTAAACAGTATTTCACTATACCCTTTAATCTTTGTTTAAAAACCATGATTTTGCGTTGTCAAAACCCATGAGTTTGCTAATGATAGAATAGAAATAAAAGGCTGCTTTTTTACACACACATAAAAAAGCAAATCCTTTTTGGGGTTTAACTTTGTAGATTTCACTTGTGACCTCACTGCTTTAAAATAAATTTTCTCCAAAGTTACATTTACCCTCATGTCTGCATCTCTAAACTCCCTTCTGGGGATGAGTCTCTCTGCCTTGCAAATGAGCCAGTGATCCTGGAAAACTGAGTAAGCCTCAATTATGGCATGGCAAACATTCATGAAATCTTTTTTTCTTTTTTTGTCCTATGAAGATTATAAAATAAAAAAGAAAGTACTACCAAAATGTTTGTAGTCACTAGTCATACTGTATTCCCAAAACTCTTTCATAAAAACTGAAGTTTTAAAGCTGCAATGTGAATCACCATGGTTGATTATGTCCCTCAAGAATGAAAGGGAAAGTATCCTATTCTACTTATAGCTTAGATTAATGAGAAGAAACTAATGAGGAGCACCCTTCTTTCAGTTAAATATTTCCAGCCTTTCTAAAACTTATGTTAAGACCAATAAAAGGGGGAAGGGAGAGTCACTGTGGAAATGACCCACCTGCAAACTTTTACCCTTCTATAAATTCCACAAAGGACACCAAAGTCCTCTGGGACTGACACACTGGGGCATCAACAGGAAGGGCCATTTTTCTCCTGCCCCTCTCTCCTCAACAGCCCCCCAAGAGCCAACGGGAGAGATGGTGATTCGACTGAGGGACAAGGGGACCTCAGTGCAGGCCCAACACAACCAGAGGCTAAGGTGTGGCTATCAGGTTTTTATTTCTATTGTACCTTAGATGCTTACCACAAAGTTGGGGTCCTTAAATGGCAAAGTTTTGGCAGCTTTTTCCATAGGTGCTGTGCTAAACTCAGATGACACCATTTTATTCTCACTCATGGCTTCCACACTAACACCCTTAAAACAGAGTAAGAGGAGTAGTATAAGGTCAGTTTCTTCTAGCTAGGTTCCCCACTTCTGCTCTCAACAAGACAGACATTCAAGGGGATACAGAGCGCCCAAAGCTGCAGCAGGCAGCCTGCCCCACAGGATGGGAAGCACCTGCTGTGTATTTGGAGGTCACAGGATAGACAGGCAGAACACTCAGTTGCCATGTTTCCTGGTCCCTTTGTAACAAGTTCAGAGATGGCTGTCCTATTCAAGTTGGCTCATTTCATTCTAACAACTGGTATAAAGGAGGTGCTGCCAGTCATGGTGGCACAAGCTGGTAATACACAAGGCAAAGCACATGAGGCAGGAGGGTCACAAGTCCAAGACCAGCCACAGCTACACTAAAGGAGGTAATAATATCACCACTTCACAGAAAAAAAAACTGAGGATCAGGGGGATGGGTTCAAGGCCATACACTGACCAACCTTTGGATTCAAACCCTGGTCAGGCCAGTTCTAAAGCCCCACCATTTCCCTGACACCACACAGTCACTACTCCTGCTGATCTTGTCAACTCTGTCTTAAAGTACTAAGTACCTGGTCAGTCACAGAAGCCAGGCTGGAGCCGGTATGCATAAGGGGCACAACAGGACACAGGCATTCTGAGGAAGGAAAATGGAAAGGAAGCTGGAGGGCCATGGGTCAGCTGGCTGCAGTCAGAGCGCCCCAACAATCAAGCTAACATGCTTGAAAACAAAACACATTGAAGCTAACAATCACAAAGAAGAAACAATGTAAAATGAAAATTAATTTCTCATTTATAATGTAATTCCAATTTTCCTATACTGCAATAAACTTTTTAGAAAACAGCTACAATTCTAAGCAATATGTTTTGGGAGTCTGTCATGTTTTCACTAGTGTAATCCAAATCCCTGTCAAGATACAGAACACTTCCATTACTCCAGAAAGTTCTCCTGCTCCTTCCTGATCAATACCTTCCAGCCCAGGGGTAAGCACACTGATCTCCGCCAGTCACTTTAAGTACAGCTCCATGTAAATGGAGTCTGACAGCATACATGCTTGTGTCTGGCTTCTTTAGCTCAGCATAAAGGGGTGTGTGTTGTTTGTTTAGTGGTACTGGGGTTTGAACTCAAGGCCTTTCACTTGCTAGGCAGGTGTTCTGCCACTTGAGTCACTCCCCCAAGTCCTTTTTGCTGTAGTTGTTTTTCACTTTTGCCCAGGGCCAGACTCAAACCACAATCCCCTTATCTGCATCCCACACAACTGAGATTATAAGCATACACCATCACATCCAACTATTTTGAGACAGGGTCTCACTGTTTACCCAGACTGGCCTCAAACTGAAATTGTCTTATCTCTGCCTCCCGAGTGGCTGGGATGGATTATAGACATGAGCCACTGTGCCTAGTCTAGTGTAAAGTTTTTGAGATGTACCCATGTTGTTGTTTCATCATATTTTCCTACTTTTAAGCAGAGTAGAATCTCATAAGGATGTACTCCAGTCTAGGAGCCCTGTCCTCTGTTAGCACAAGCTCCTCTATCTGGACAACCCCTCCCTTCATCCTTCCTCAATCCACAGCCTTCCCCAGCTGTCATTACGTAAAAAATCTTTGGCTGTAGGAAATTCATACTGAAATAGACCTTTGAAGCAGTGTTCTAGGAACAAAGGAGAAAGCACAGGTTGCTGACCAGGGGACTGGCAGAGCTGGTATAAGGAGACCTGCCAGTATCAGAAGAAAAGAGGCCATTCTCCCAAGGAATCTAACTATTCCTAAAGGTGCCCCGTAAGACCTCAGCAGGGAAAAGTCAATGTCCCTACATGGTCAAGAGGCCAAGCCTACTGGCTGGCCTAAATTGAGAGAGAGAGAGAGAAAGAGAGAGACAGAGAGAGAGAGAAATGACCCTAAGAGATACCCAGTGGGCACCATGTCAGAAGAAAGAAACAAGGACAGCTAGAGATAGTTCAAGGCATAATCCAGGGAAAACAGGCAGAGTATGAAAGAGATTTCTTGGGGTCAAATATACTTCAAGTTTCAACTTTATTGTTTGAGCTTTTCATAAAAATATGACTATTGATATAATACTGTTTCCATCTGAGAGAAAACAAACTCAACTGCTAAAGAAGCAAAGAGGAGATTCTAAAGAGAAACAAAGAAATTCCAGCCCAAAGGCTTCCAACAATGATGTCAGAACCATCCAGAGAGTGCCCAGCTCATCCTCCAGAACCATCCAAATGGTGCCCAAAGCCTCATTCTCCAGAACCATCCACACAGCATGTCCTGAGACCTGCACCCCTCCTCCAGAACTATCCAGAGAATGCCCCACTCCCTAGGTTCCATCCTCTGGGAGTGTGATTTGCTTTTTCCTGCACCCCAGAAATGCTCCAGATTGTTTCCCTCCCTTCCTGTTTATTGCTCTTCCCTGATTCCCAGTAATGAAGTCCAAAGGTGCTGAGGGCAGGTGAAAAGGAAGGCATACAGGGATTCTTTTGACATAGGCTTTTTGTCCCAAGGCCTCAGGGAGCCATGCCTCACTGGGCTTCAGACAGACAGAGCTTCCCCACCCCAGAGGCCACTACTAAAAACAGTTATGGCACTAAATCAGCATGGACAATCTGCAAGTTCTGCCAGGAGAGAGGTCGTGCCATCAGACAGCATATCTGCTGACACTAATGCAGAGCAGTGGCATGAAGACAGGCTACAAGGCAGCCGCTGCAGGCAGCAAGCTGCAGAAGAGTCAAGAGGGAGTGAATGTGATGTGCTGAAGCATGGGGCTTTGAAATGTCCCATCCTGCTAGAGGCTCACTTTTTCCTCTGCTCTTCCCTTTCAGCAGGCCAGGGTCTGACTGTGAGTCAAGCTAAAGAAGGGGGAGAAAGGAAGCCAGCAGGACATGAACTGAGTTGCATCAATCCAGATGGGCTCCTGGCTCTCACACAGTGGAGAATTCTTGCCTCTGTAATCAGATGAATCCCCCCAGGAGGCCAGAATTGGCTTTCTGCTGGTCTTTCCTCCTCAGCTCCTTTCCCATCGCCCTATTACTCCACCCTCAATGCTCCCTTACCCTCACCTTCAGTCATGCTGAGACTAAAGTGTCTACTAAGAACAGGATGGGAGGGAGAGACCTTTAGTCACAGGGAAGATCAAGTCTATGAGGCTTAGATGTAACTAAATAAAACCTTGGATGATGTATAGTTTCCATATTACCAAAGCACTATTAACACTAAGAGACTTTATGAGATGAAATGACCTGTCCCAAGACATGAACACCCTAAGGAGGGGAGGAGAGAAAAGGGAAAGGGAGAGAGAGAAGTAACACCGAGTACTTAGGGCTGTCCCCTATGCAGCACTAAAAGAGCTGATTAAGTTCCAAAGAAGAAACCAAGCCTGCTATAACACACTGGAGTCAGCCAGGCCTAGGGTCTCAGTCCAGCACTTCCAACTGCACAGCCTAAATAAATGGTTTTGACTTTCCAGACAGCATCCTGCATGACTCCCGCTCAAACTTCAGGATAACTTGGGCCTCCTGTCTGTGGTTACAATGAAAGGAGACAAATGTCTTTTATCTTACCACTGAAAAACCAAATACCAAGTATATCTATCTAATAGTATTCTAGATTAAAAAAGGGTTGACTTGGATCTAAAACTGCAGGGTTACTATAGGGTTACTTAAAATAGCCAAAAGATAAGACCTAACCTAAATATTCAATAAAGTTAGTTCATTAGAGCACTTAATTCCTTAGAACATAATGAGTCAATTAGTCATAAAAGTCTGTAAGACTTTTTAAAGTCTACTTCAGAAGGCTATCAAAACAAAGAAATGGTCACAAATAATGCTAAATGAAAAACAGAGTGCACAATGTCATATGCCAAATATCAAATGAAAACTACATGGAAAGACTAGTGTAATTTAAGATTATCATGGTTTTTTTTTTTAAGTTGGGTAGAATGATTGCTTTTAAAATGAATACATACAATCAGTCCAGATTCTCTGGCTGCCTCCAATTACAGAAAATTCTATCCCGTCTCTGTGCCTTTTGTCATCTGCATTCTGCATTAGCCATTTAAAGAAGTAGCTACTGGCTCTTGACTTCAGACGCTTTGCTAACTGCTTACTCACCATGGTTCTAAAGTCTATTAAGTAACAACAAATCCACACGCCAATTATGTTTCTGAGAACATTGTAACAACTATGCTGGAGGTGGCTCAAGTGGTAGAGAGCCTGCCTTGTAGGCTGGAGGCTGTGAGTTCAAACCCCACTACCACTAAAGAAGAAAAATAGAAAAAGAAAGAAAGAGAGAGAGAGAGAGAACGGTTAAAAAAGAATTTGTACTCTGGACAGCCTGCCTGGGTTTGAGGCTTGAATCTGTGACTTATTAGCTGTGTGACCTTGGGCAAGTTACTTATCCTCTCAATGGCGCTAGTCTTTGTGTTTGTAAAATGAAATGCGAACAATAACTCAGAGAATAGTGTTTTGAGGATTAAATGAAATAATACTCAGAAAGAACCTAGCACGTGCCTAGCACAGGGTAAATGTTCGTTTACCATCATTTCTTTCACTTTATCCCATTGTCTGCTCCCCAACCCTCCAACTTAACATTAATCCTTTCCGAAGTGTCACGACCAGAATACATGGAAGTTCGCACTTTTGTAACATTATTAATAAAAACTACATTGGCTACACTGAAAATACAAATAAATCCAAACACAGAATTGGAATTCTAAGACAATTCATAGAACTCAGCAAGCATAAACACTTAGTAATTTCTGCCGAAAGCAAAGATCCATCTTGATGAAATAAAACTATTGGTTTTTAAAGGCATGAACCCTTGCCTTTGCCTTTTTTTCAGTACTGGGGTTTGAACTCAGGGCCTTAAGTTTGCCAGGCAGGCATTCTACTACTTGAGCCATTCCTCCAACCTTTTTTTTGTGTTGGGTATTTTTGAGATAGGGTTTCAATTTTGTTGTCTGGGTTGGACTCGAACCTCAATCCTCCAGAGCACTGCCTCT